AGGTGGGACGGGGCAGGGCGGCAGGGTGACGCTGCGGAGGGGGTGGCGCGTGGTACCGGGGGTGACACGGCTGTGCCCTGCCACGCCGCAGGATTGAGGAGTCGGACCAGGGTCCCTATGCCATCATCCTGGCCCCCACCCGAGAGCTGGCCCAGCAGATCGAGGAGGAAACCATCAAGTTTGGGAAGCCTCTGGGCATCCGCACGGTGGCTGTGATCGGAGGCATCTCCCGTGAGGACCAGGGCTTCCGCCTTCGCATGGGCTGCGAGGTGAGTGTTAGCCCCTGGGGAGGGCCGTGGGGGGACCTGGGGGGAGCAGTGTAGCCCCAGGCTGCGGACACCAACCCTCCTGGCCCCCCCAGATCGTCATCGCCACGCCAGGGCGTCTCATCGATGTGCTGGAGAACCGGTACCTGGTGTTGAGCCGCTGCACCTACGTGGTGCTGGATGAGGCAGATCGCATGATCGACATGGGCTTCGAGCCCGACGTGCAGAAGATCCTGGAGCACATGCCCGTCACCAACCAAAAACCCGACACCGACGAGGCCGAGGACCCCGAGAAGATGTTGGCCAACTTTGAGTCAGGGAAACACAAGTACAGACAGGTGGGTGCAGGCAGGAGGCCCGGGGCGTTGTTGTGGGTGCTCCCGTGGGGCTGAGCGCTGTCCACGGGGTGGAGAGGGGACAACCTGGGGCTCTGGAGAACGGGCCAAGGGAGCGGCAGCCGCATTCCCGCCCTGCGGGGGACATCGCTCACTGCCCCGTTCTCTCGCAGACCGTCATGTTCACGGCCACCATGCCGCCGGCGGTGGAGCGCCTGGCCCGCAGCTACCTCCGTCGTCCGGCCGTGGTCTACATCGGCTCCGCCGGCAAACCCCACGAGCGGGTGGAGCAGAAGGTCTTCCTCATGTCGGAGTCGGAGAAGAGGTGCGGAGGGGGCCGCTGGGGCGGGGTGGAACGGGGAGGCCGAGTCTTGCGGGGTGGTCTAGGGTATTTGAGGGTGGCTGGGAGGGGGACTCTGGAGAGCGGAGGGTCTCCTGTGGGGCACCTCAGCCTCTCCTTGCCCAACTGTCCTCCTCCGCAACAGGAAGAAGCTGTTAGCCATCCTGGAGCAGGGCTTCGACCCGCCCATCATCATCTTCGTCCACCAGAAGAAGGGCTGCGACGTGCTGGCAAAGTCCCTGGAGAAGATGGGGGTGAGTCTGAGCTGGGCCGGAGCCCCCTCCCCTTTGGCTG